GCATTAAACGTGATGAACTATAGGCTCATTCATCTGTTGAAAAAGCTTCACACCAGACAAATAACACAAGTAGTGAAAGAAATGGTATATAGAAATGTCCATCAAAAATTATGCCAAAAATCTTGGCATGACTTAAATTATGCGCGAAAAATTGTTTTAATCCCAAGAACTATTTCACTATGATGGGCATTGTTAGTTCTGAACTTGCAATAGTAACTGCTATTTTCTATACTTGAAAAGAAATCATTTGCGAAGCCTCTCTTTATATATCACCATATTCTTAACAAACCAACAAACACGATATCTTCGATACTCTAGAGCTATAATACATCTATGACCATGGACAAGATGCAGTGAACTTGTATCAATGCCAATATTTTGTGGCTAAGCAAACTTCAAGCTTTAAAAACTTTATTTCGACACAAATGAGCATGAAAACCTGACTACCAGTCCTACAATTTAAGCAAAAAATCCTTCAATGATGTGCTTTTCCCCAATGTGTATGACCGTATTTTAAATACAGATACGATTCTTCTACGGCAATTACTGCTGCTGCAATACCACAGCCCAGCTTCCAGCCACTGCGTATCATATATCTGAAGCTACTCCAACGATCACCACCCAATCGTCCCATGAATAAGAAAGCATAGTTTCTGAAAACAAGATTTGCGTTAAGCACTGAAATTTAAATAAAACTGAAGAAATATAAAAAGTTAATTTACGTACAATTTGAGCAACAGAGAGAGTAAAAGAAGCAGTTTCCAGCAACTGAATGAACAGTTACTAGTGAGTTATTCAACAAAAGATATAACTTATTTGCCATAATTAGATGCATCTTCACATTCACACTCAATACTGGAATGCTTTAGACAAAATGAAACATTATGCGTCTGAAATAGTATTTCCAGAGTACTTATAAGAGCTCACAATGAAATAAAAATAAAAACAACGCGTATTATACCTTATCCAAGGGTCCTTTAATCCGATACGTGCCAACCTTTCCTCATGCGCCTGAAGTTTCGGTATAACGCGATAATTGTCATATATTTTATATGATGGTATCTTGGGTCCATGATCATCCCCCATTGCCTTAAATCTAACCCAAAAAAAAGTAAATATAGTGCAGAAAGAGGATAGGAAAGCATAACCTCCACAAAAAATCTTTACAGTTCGCTCAGAAACGAGACATATATAAATACATCATACAAATGTAGTGACAACAGCAATGATGATAAGAATTCGAATGGGAAAAAAAAACTCACTACTTAGAAAGTTCAAATCACACGAAAACAAAGATAGCATCTTATTATGCCCTTTCCACGTTCAATTATTCCATCTCCTAAAAATTGCGGCCCATGAAAAATAAGATCACACAGAAATAGTTCTTGATTTTGTGTTTGATTTCATACGTTTAGGTTGTCTTCTTGAATTACTTTCAAATTTGTTGTCTGTGAAAGTTTGTGAAATATGAAGTTTCAGATGTTGAATGTTGTACTGGATTGGTTAAGGTTCGCATTTGCATTTCTTGAAGTTATTCTAAATTATATCTCCAAACCGTCACGTCTTTTCGATAGCATTCTTCGAGGCAGCGTTCGAAATACTCCTTTTCAACTTCCCAATCATCTTGCTGTCTTATATACAAACAAGCATACTATTTCACTTGTAAGTTTTGTTTCATATCTGGTCAAAATTCCCAAATGATTTTTGGAAATTTTCAGTAATGCAGTAGCACTGCTAGCCAACCTGTCTTTATTTGTTTCCTGCTACCTCTTTTATTTTGACTTCTTATTTCCACATGTTTTACTCTATTGGTAGCAGAACTGTTATTTGCAAAACTTCATTATCTTTGTGTTCAAAAGAAGAGAAACAAGTAGCGTTG